AGGATAGAGTAGGGACTCTACAGGATAGAGTAGGGACTCTGTAGGATAGAGTAGGGACTCTACAGGATAGAGTAGGGACTCTACAGGATAGAGTAGCGACTCTCTAGGATAGAGCAGGGACTCCTCTACAGGATAGAGTAGGGACTCTACAGGAAGCCCATAGGATTTCCATGGCTGTAAATCTTTAGAGAAGCAGACTGCCTGCTCTTTCTCCCTCGGAGCAGAGGTCCACACCACCCACTGCTTGGCTCGCAGTCTAGCTCCTTTAGCCATTGTGCCTCCACAGCTTCTTTAACATCCCTTCCCCCCACCTATAATCTCTCTCTAAAACGGCTTTCCCAGCAGTGTACTCAGAAACAATTGGCAGGAATGTGTGTCTGCTTCGTACCATCTGCATAGGAGTGGGGACAACATTGAGGGGTGGGGAGAGTGTCTACAAGGGCTCAGGTCTAAGCATGTGGGTGCCCAAAGACATGTTGGAATCGATGTGGATTTGAGGAGCACATCAAAGGTCCAGACACCAAAATCAAGTGCATTTTTCTGGGTGTGCGTTGGGTCAGGGAATCTGTCTGCACTGTTCATGAAGTCTTTTTCAGCCACAGCCTGACAGCTTCCTAGAAACCTTGACGACAACTGTCTGTCCCCGGCCCCCCCTCCCCACCCCGCCTCCCCACATGGAGCTCTCTGTTGTTCGATGCCATTCAGTGGGTTCCAATTCAGGAGACTCTAGATCTCGCCACACTTACAGTTGCTACTGTGTTTGAGCCCATTGTCATCACCACTGGGCCATTCCATCTCTTTCAGGGACTTCCTCTTTAGCTCTGGTGGCATAGTGGTTATGCCTTGGGCTGTTAACCACAAGGTCTGCAGTTCAAAACCACCAGCCACTCCTCAGGAGAAAGAAAGTAAAAGGAGACTTTTACTCCCGTAAAGAGTTATAGTCTTGGTAACCCACCAAGGGGCAGTTCTACCCTGTCTTGTAGGATCACTTTGAGTCACTGTTGGCTTGATGACAGTGAGGTGTGTGTGTGTGTGTGTGTGTTTACCAAGCATGATGTCCTTTTCCAGGGCTTGGTCTCTCCTGATAACATGTCCAAAGTCTGTGAGATGAAGTCCCGCCATCCTCGCATTTAAGGAGTATTCTGGCTGTACTTCGGCTGGGATCCAGGCCCTGTGGCTTTCCTTGGCCTTAGTTCAAAGGCATCCCTTCTCCTCTGGCCTTCCTCGCTCATTGTCCGGCAGCTTTCATCTGCATAGGAACCAGGGGAAAATACCTTTGTCTCCATCTCTGCCCTTTCAAAGAGGTCTAGTGCAGTATATGCAACAGCTCCTTGGATCTCTCCACTGCCGCTGCCGTGAGCGTTGACGCTTGATTCTCATGACTGCCAGCCCTTCGGCTGGCCCAGTGGGGAGGGTTTGGGTTCTCTCTACACTGAGCTACAATCCGTACCGAAGGCCTCAGGCCGCAGTCTTCATCCACAAGGGCCGTGGGTCCTCTGTTCCCTCTCAGCAGGCAAGACTCTGCCATCTGCATGTACACAGGCTGTGTGTGAGCCTGTCTCCCACCCTCGTGATGTGTCCTTAGGTTATTTGCCTACAGATTGGATGACTATAGGAAAGGACATCCCACCGTGACACACACCTTTCCTGATTTTTAAACCAGAGTACCAAGAAGCTATAGCCCCTCCCCTCTTTTTTTCCTCTGTCAAGAGCAAATCCCAGGCCCAAGAGCCCGGGGTCTCTGCAGATGGTTCCCCTTGTGGATGTACTAACAGGCAGCCAGGGTTCTGTGGGCTTGATGGACCAGCCTCCGTACGGCAATGTGCCAGCAGACCTGGTATGTAGCCTCCTGCCTCCACCGTCAGAAGTCACCAGGGTCTGATCCACCATAGTACAGGGTAGGGCTAGGAAGACAGCCTGGGTTCAAAGTCATCCGACTTTGAACTCAGTTTCCCCCTCTGTGAAATGGGGATGATAGTCTTAGAGGCGACCACCCAGGGACGTTATAGGAGTTGCGTGAGAAAGCTCATAATGAGTGTGCGGTACCTGGCACTGAGTAGGTACCAAGTGCATTCATAAGGATGCCATCAACGGACTGCTTCACCAATCCCCTTATCCTCAGGGCCCAACCAACCAACCCAAACCCTAATACTGCCGGCTGAGTGGATACCGACTCATAGCGACCCTATAGGACAGAATAGAACTGGTTCTGTGAGTTTCCAAGACTCTAACTCTTCGAGGGAGTCAAAGCCCCCTCTTTCTCCTGAGAACTGGCTGGTGGTTTCAAACTCCCAACCTTGTGGTTAGCAGCCCTGCTCGTCACCACACTGCCACCAGGGCCCCTGAAGGCCTGCATCACCCAAAACACAGACAACAGACGTCTCTTCCCCTACAAAGTGGAACTCCCTGACGATTTTTATTAGTCTCCGCAAGACAGATTTCAAGTACAACATTCTTATCGCTGAGGGCGAAATCTAACTTCAAATGCCGGTCTTGGCAGTCCAGCTTGGTCACTCCCCGTGTCCAGCATCTCACTGGGGACATGTGACGGGGAAAGGAAAGCCCTTGGTGGCATCCACTGGCAAAGGCCCAGGCCAAACCAACTCACTGCCACTCAGTGGGTTCTGACGCGCAGTGACCCGTGACTGACCGACTGTGACTCTTTCAGGGACTAGAAGGCCTCCTCTTTTCATCCCATCTGGTGGTTTCAAACTGCCGACCTTGCACTTTGCAGTCCAATGCATTACACGTTACATCACCAGGGCTCTTCAACTGGCAAGGACAGTCGAGGAGAATACGTGCCCACGATGGGCGCTCATTGCCTCGGAGGCTGCCTTGCTGAGTGCTTAGCATGCAGGCAGGTGCCAGGCGGAGACCCGGATGGGGCAGCGTTTACTGCGGACAAGCCTGCAGTCGCAAGACTCTCCACCTCAGGTTCCTAATGATGTGATGTATTTCCTCAGCCCAGCTGTGATCCCGGGTGGGATTGGGGAGTTATTTCCCCAGATGGTTGACAGCCCCCAAAAGATGTTTTAAAAAACTCCCATCTTCTCTCCGTGAAACACGTTTCTGTGAGGTTCGCGCCGGGCTTGTCAGCAGCTCCTATGGAAACCCCGAGAAATATTTAGGTGCTAAAAAGAGGTCACATGAGCATGGCGGTTCCCTGGCCCTCACCACAATGACTGTGTCTGCGTGCCCCGGCTCTCCCTGGTTCTAGCCGGCGCCGCCATTAACAGGCGTCTTCCTCCTGCTTAAATCATCGTGCAAGGAGCTGTATTTATGAGGTATGAGCTTCCTGGTTGAGACCAGGAAATGAAGCCCTAATAGAGAGAAATAATTAAGATTTTTGGCCCTCTCGAGAGGTCCCCCCACCCCCCTCCCCAAGCAAAGAATTCACAACAATTATTCTCATTAATTTTTACAACCTCTGTCTCCCTGCTCGGAACTGGTATTTATATTTGCTGCTCCCCCTCCCACGGCCCCTCCCAGTGACCCGGTTTTATGCTGATTTGAGGGGAGGCTGTTTCTATGACGAAT